GCTACCTGCAAAGTCTTCCTGTCCCTGGAGAGATGACAGAGCATCCAACGGCTGGCATCTCAGGTGTCAGCCTTACGGCTTTTGGCCCCGGGCCTACTCTCTCCACTGGTAGGGAAGATGATTTCTTGCATCGACATCGTTCCCTGGGCCAGGTTTCATGCATGACCACTCCAATGGTTTCTGCTTCCCTATCAGAGGTCCCACACCAGTCATTCACAACTCAAGGTCCGTCTTCCACCCAAGCCCCTCAGATCATTTCAGTCCAAGATCCTCAAGGGGTGCCCGTTCAAGGAGCCAGACCGCATCCAGGTTACGACGGATGCCAGCCTATTCGGATGGGGCAGCCATGCCCTGGATCGGGTGGCGCAGGGTCGTTGGTCGGACCGGGAGCTGTCCAACAGAATCAATTGGCTATAGTTGCGGACCATCTGTCTGGCCCTACGAGAATTCCAGGACATTGTGACTCACAAACACGTTCTGATCTTGACCGACAATGTGGCCTCCAAGGCACATGTCAACCGCCAAGGGGGCACACATTCCAGGGCCCTCATGCTGGAGGCAGAGAAATTGCATCACTGGGCGGAATCCAGACTGTTGTCCCTTCGGGCGGAGCACATCTCGGGCGACTCCAACGTCCAGGCGGATTGGCTGAGCAGAGCCACAGTGGATCATGCGGAGTGGCAGCTCCACCCCGACCTCTTCCAGTAGCTCTCCCGCTGGTTCGGCCATCCAGAAGTGGACTTGTTTGCGCAGCCCCACAATGAGCAACTGCCCCAGTTCTACTCCAGGTACGTGACTCCCGGAGCGGAGGGAGTGGATGCCTTGCGCACCCCGTGGCCAGCCGGCCTTCTCTACGCCTTCCCGCCTCTACCAGTGATTCCGGCGGTCATCCAGAAGATACTGTCGGAACGAGCGGAGGTCCTCTTGGTGGCTCCGATGTGGTCCCGGCGAGCCTGGTATGCCGACCTGGTGCACCTGTCGATCTCGCGCCCGTGGAGGATTCTGGACGATCAGATCCGGTTCAACCAAGGGGCCCTCATACGTCCGAACCCCCAGTTGCTACAATTAGCCGTGTGGCACATGAACGGACTATCCTGACTGACCTTCATTATTCCAGCGAGGTCATCGACACAATTCAAGCAGCTCGTCGCCCCTCCACCACTCGAATTTACGAGGCTACCTGGCAGGCCTTCTGCAGGTGGTGCCACCGGACTGGGGCGGATCCTCTCCAAGATTCGGTGCCCCGAGTGTTGGACTTCCTGCAATCTGGACTTACCAAAGGTTTGGCACCCAATACGCTCCGCGGGCAGGTCACGGTGATTGGGGAAGGTCAGGGTCGTTCCTTGTCCCAACATTCGCAAGTCAAGGCTTTCCTGAAAGGAGCGGCCAACATCCGGCCTCCGACCGTGCACCGCTACCCTACATGGGATTTGACTTTAGTACTCAGAGCGCTTATGGCTTCTCCATTCGAACCTATTACTTCCATCAGTCTTCGACTACTGACTCTTAAGACCGTGTTCTTGGTGGCTCTTACATCAACCAGGCGGGTTTCAGAATTGACGGCATTGTCAGTTTGGGCAGACCTCTGTATATTCCATTCCAACAGAGTTGTTCTTCGTTTGGACCTGACCTTTCTACCAAAAGTCAACACGTTGTTCCACAGGGCTCAGGAACTCGTCCTCCCGGACTTTTGTCCCAACCCTTCTCATCCGCAGGAGCGCCAGTGGCATCACCTGGATGTGCGCAGGGTTCTTCGGGGCTACGTGAAATGCACAGCATCTTTCAGACGGTCGGAAGTGCTTTTTGTGTCCTTTCAGCCATCATCCATGGGGCAGAAGGTTTCTTCCCATACGATAGGTCGATGGTTGAAGGCGTGCATCGCTCATGCTTATGACTC